CCCATAATTCTGCATATTTATAAACTTTTCAATCTCATGTCCCTTCTCATCATCCTAATAATTTTCTTGTAATTGTAGTTTTATCCCACAATAATTTACATAGCAAACTTTCGAATATAGCAAAAATAAAATGAAATGGAAAATAACAGTATATACTCATTAACATAGGAGTTTAGGTCAAACCTAAATAATAGACTCCAAAAACAGTGGGGACTGTTTTTGAATTCATATTGAAGATTTCAGAATAGTTTGCCTTGATGTCGATGTATTGTCATTTATTAAATAAATTTGTAATATTTGTAATTGGAAAAAATATTTCTGCTTTTGCTACAAAAAAATTTCTCTGCCACACTCACATAAAAGTGAGTACAAAGTGTAAAGAGAAGAGAGAAAAGATTAGTGAGACCCACTCATTTTTATGTGAGTGTGGCAAAGAAATTTTTTCTGTAGCAAAAATAGAAACATTAAACCCTTTATAATTAGGATTAAATAGCCATTTGTAACTAAGATATAGTTATATTCAAATTCAAATTGACATGTATCATCGTCTATATAAGATTCCTTTCCGAATTGAATATAATGGTTCGATACCAAACTTATTATGGTATTAGAGCGATCCACAAACACTTTTGCATAACTCTAAATTATCTTGGCAGTAGCTAGTGCATAACTTAACCTAGTCAATAGCAACAATGGCATATGAAGGTGGTCAAAGACTTAATGTCATAGACCACTGTCTCCCTTTTAGCTGACTGCATCAGATAGTTCTAGTTTGTTGTTGACAACCGTTATGTTGAAGGGATAGGCCAATTTCGACAATTGGGCAAAGGTCATGAAAAACGCACTAAGGGCCAAGAACGAGCTTGGTTTGTTGATGGTACAATCACAAACCTGAAGGAGGAAGAGTTCGATGAAAGTCATGTGTGGATGATGTGCAACTCCAAGATTACATGATGGATACACAACACAATTGAGCCTAAAATCCAACCGTTTACTCATTATTTTGACGAAGCAAAGAAGTTGTGGGATGACTTGAAGGAGAGATACTCCGTGGAAAATATACCTCAGATGTATTTATTGAAGGCAAGTCTATCCACCATCAAACAACAAGGGGACACAGTGGAAGAATATGACACCCGGCTACAGGCCGTGTGAATGAGCTTGAAGCAAGCAAAACAACGCACACGTACGAGTGTGGTGATAAGTGTGCATTCCTCAAAACTGTAACTGAAGAAACAACAAAGGATAATATTTATCAATTTTTATTGGGGTTGGATGATGATGTATTTGGGACCATACAGACTCAGATATTGAATTCAACCCCATTCCTTATCTTAATAAACTTTATGCTATGATAACATAAGAGGAGATACATAAGACCATAACACTTGGAAACTATGAACAATGAGATGTTGTTGGTTATGCTATGCAGATCAAGAATTGTAACGTCCCAAGTGCTTGCAAGGGCATGAGGTGATCGCCGGTGCGAAAGGGCACGGACAATGAGCAGCTCATGCCAAATCTTGAGCTGAGGGTGCATGAATGAATCGAATCAACACCCGAAAGAGAGGAATTTCAGAGACTGTGCTGGTATGAGACAATACAGTTGAGGATAGCTTATAAGAATTAATGGGTACTATCTATACTCTAACAAGATGCATCTACTTTTCGGTAGCCCGGAATGGAAGAACTCTATAGTAAAGCGTGCTTAACTTGGAGCAATTCTAGAATGGGTGACCTTTTGGGAAGTTTTCCGAAGAAGTCTGTGAGTGAGGATAAAGCACGCTGAAAAGTCTTGTGTTAGTGTGTGGAGATAGTCATTGATTCATGAAGAGGCCGGACGAAACAAGTGGTATCGAAGCAGGGCCCCTCTTCCAGTACGGTGTGGTTCGAGGACAAACCAGGCGGAAGCTGGTGGGCATGTAACATCCCAAGTGCTTGCAAGGGCAGGGAGTGATCGCCGGTGCGAAAGGGCACAGACAATGAGTGTCTCATGTCAAATCTTGCAGCTGGGGGTTCATGAATGAATCGAATCAACATCCGAAAGAGAAGGATTCCAGAGACTGTGCTGGTATGGGACAGTACAGTTGGGGATAACTTATAAGAATTAATTGGTACTACCTATACTCTAACAAGATGCATCTACTTTTTGGTAGTTGGAACAGAAGAACTCCATGGTTAAGCGTGCTTAACTTGGAGCAATTATAGGATGAGTGACCTCCTGGGAAGTATTTCCAAGAAGTGTGTGAGTGAGGATAAAACACGCTGAAAAGTCTCGTGTTAGTTTGTGGGGATATACATTATTATTATTACTACTAATTTGTCATTTATTATTATTGTAAATTACTATTATTTTCCTGGGATATTACAAGAATGCTTGACAAGTGACATAACAGATGGCTGTAAGAAATTCTTGGTGTTGTTTGGAAAATCGAGACTAGAATAAATAACCAATAATAGAGTAAGGGGTACCTGTGATGGCATTAGTATTGGTGTAGCGACATGCCAGTAGATATAGGGAACCAAGAAACTTAAGAGAAGCCATGATAGATGAAAAGTGGGTTGCTGCTATGTGTCATGAAATTATATTATATGAAGATAGCCAGATGTGGGAACTGGTTGACTTGCCTATCGAAAAGCATGCACTGCCATCCAAATGGGTGTTTTTCGTGTTAAGTGTAATTCAGATGGATCAGTCAAAAGGCATAAGGTGAGGCTAGTCATCATTGGGAATAACTAGGTAGTTGGTGAAGATTTCCATGAAACTTTCGCACCTGTTGCAAAAATGACCAGTGTGCGCACACTCCTAGCTGTCGCTGCTGCTAGAAATTTGCATCTTATAATCTCAATGTGGCAAATGCATTCCTAAATGGAGACCTCAATGAAGAAGTCTAAATACAATTTCCCCCTGGATTTACTGCCACTTCCGCTAATAAAGTCATTTGAAGAAATCTTTATACGGTTTGCGCCAGTCCCCACAAAATTGGTTTGCTAAACTCAGCACAACCCTTCACTCTTATGGTTTCACTCAAAGCAAGGCTGATTATACTTCGTGCACTTTATAGAAGGGAGATTTTTTTTGGTTCTACTTATTTATGTAGACGATATTATTTTGGCAGGAAACAATGCTATTGTATGCGATCAAGTTAAGTCTTATATGAATTAGTTTTAAAATTCATGAATTGGGAGTTCTAAAGTATTTTTTGGGGATCGAGATTGCTCGTAATTCCACTGGCATTTTCCTCTCTCAACAAAAATATGCTTTGGACATTTTATCTGAGGTTGGCTTTCTTGGTTGCAAACATGCTACATTTCTTATGGAACAACATCATCGACTTGTACTGACAGATGGGGAAGACTATAAAGATCCAGCTCGATATAGACATATTATGGTTCGCTTGGTCTATCTCACTATCATAAGACCTGACCTATGTTATGCAGTCCACACATTATCCCAATTTATGAATCAGCAAAAGAAACAACATTATAATGCTGCTTTTTGTGTTCTATGGTATATCAAACACAACCCTGGTCATGGTCTGTTATTAAAATCTAATTGTGATCTCCATGTTCGAGCCTTTTGTGACTCTGATTGGGCTGGATGCCCACTCATTAGACGATCCATCACATGATTCTTTATTATGCTTGACCAATCTCCTATATCTTGGAAAACCAAGAAACAAGGCACCGTTTCAAGATCCTCAACTGAGGATGAGCATACGATCGTGGCTACTACAACTACTGAGTAAGTATTGTTAAAAGCTTTCCTGCTCTCTTTTGGTGTCACTCACAACAAGCCTTTGGAACTTTTCTACGACAACTAGACAGTCTTACACATTGCTGGCAATCTAGTGTTTCATGAAAGAATAAAACATATTGAGTTGGATTGCCATTTCGGAAGGGAACATCTTCAGGCAAACACAATTTCTACTTCATATGTTCGATCCAACTGTCAATTAACAAATATTTTTATCAAAGCATTGGGAAAAGTTGTGTTCTCTTCCATCCTTGCCAAGTTGGGTGTTTCATTCCTACACACTTTAACTTGAGGGGGAGTAATAGACTCTAAAAATAGCGGAGGCTATTTCTGAATTCAAATTGAAGATTCCAGAGTTTGCTTTGCTGTCGATCTGTTGGTATTTACTAAAAATTTGTAACGTTTGCAATTAGGATTAAATAGTCATTTTATAATTAGGATTAAAGAGCCATTATAGCCATTTCGTAACTAAGATATGATTGTATTCAAATTCAAATTGCCATGTATCATCATCTATATAAGTCGCCTTTCCTAATAAGATGGATTGATACCAAATTTATGAAGAGTATTATTCTTACAACCTAAAAGTTTTTTCAATCTCTTACAATCTATTTTTTCACCGTGGATTTATGTTAATCCAACAATTATAATTTATTGAAATTAATAATTAATTAATAAATATGACCTAATAAATCATACCTATTGGATTGACAGAAATTAATGATAAAAAAATAAGTTATAAGAAATTATAAAACTTTTAAATTATAAGAATAATGTTCGTGGAAACTTATTACTAAAACTCCTCTTCCTGAATGACACTCTCATCCTTCTTATTACTAAAACTGCCAACTTATTACTAAAACTCTCTCCCTGAATGACACTCATCCTTCTTATTACTAAAACTCCTCTCCCTGAACGACACCCACCCTTCGTTAAAGGGTTTTATAGCGGGTGCAAGATTTGACCATCATTAGATTGTTAAGAGAAGCAGCTAAGGCTCACTCTCTGCGGGAAAAAAAAATCAAAATATAATTAACCTGAATTCTGTGGGATTAAAAAAATCAATACTTATTTAAAAAAAAAATTAATCAATACTTACACTCAACTTGTAGTTCCCTACCCCACAATTTATATTTTATTGGTTGACCCAGTTGGGTTGATTGGATTGGCCCATTAACCCGACCCAATGAAAACTTGGTTTCAGGTATATTCTGTTTTACTATGGTATTTTAGGGTTTAAGCATGGACGCTGCATTTTTCCCTGTTTCCAAAAAACAGAGCCGTTGGTGGGCAAAAACCTAAAACCCTTATAAACCTTAAAAATAAAAAAGAATAAAAAAATCTAACTATTTTCATCTCTTCTCTTTTTTTGTGTCTTAATTGAAGATGGATAAGAACATGTTTGCAGACTTGGATAATCTTCCTGAAGAAGATAAGCACAAAATGTCCACCATGATAGACCAGCTCCAAATCCGAGACAGGTATTTTTATAAATATATTTTTTGTATAATTTTATTTTAATTTCTACGCTTTGGTTTCTCTTGTTGTTTACTTGTGAGTTGTATTGAGATGTTCATATCTATGTTGGAGGTCTCTTAAGTTCAAGAAGAAATGAATGATTGAATGCTAGATTGGGGATCTGAATATATATATTATGTAAGTGGATTTGTGTACTTGAAATGAGTTTCCTGTTAATGGAAATTACTGGTCTGGGTTCGAATTTTTCTGATATCTACAATATATGAATAATGATTTAGAATGTGTTGCTATTGGTTAGCAACTAAATATTGGGTTGTATTTTCAATTTGATGGGTTCTCAACTTTTTCTGATAATACGTACATTTTTTACTGTGGAGGAGAAAATATATGAATTTCTGAACTCTGAGTATGTAGTTCTCTTTGTTGTGGTAAGTGGTCATTGGAATATTGGACTGTTTGGTGCTCTCTTTCACTATATGTCATGTTCTTATTTTTTCCATGCCAAATGGATCTATTCTCTAGTGAATTTCAGAGTTGATACTTGTAATCTTGGGAGTAGTGAATCTAATTATAACTTGTAAATTTGAGGACTTTCATAAATGTTTTATCTTGCAGTAGCTTTTGCTAAAAATCTGGCCTTAACATGTTAATTGATGATTTAGGTTGGACACTCCAATTGGATACTTCGGAACTGCACGTGTTAAGAGCTTAGAAGTTAGAACTGACATACCCTACTTAACTGCAAGCTTAGGATAATTTTTCACAATACAATAACACTTACGTTATTTACTAGAGTTTAACATATTGTTTTGCATATATAAAAGAAGTGAACCTATTTTTCAATCTAGAGTTAAAAGTTGCAAAGATATGAATGTAGAAGTTTTATGTAGGTATGGTATCATTTTTTCCTTGTAGCATAAGGTGGGATGTGTTTGATTTATTCTCTACTCCAACAAAATTGCAGTCTAAAGATGTATAATTCATTAGTGGAAAGATGTTTCAAGGATTGTGTCAATACTTTCTATCGGAAATCTCTGACCAAGCAAGAGGAAACATGTGTTATCAGATGTGCTGAAAAATTCTTGAGGCTTTCAATGCAAGTTGGCTTGAGATTTTCAGATCTCAACCAAGGAGCATCTACAACAGATAAAGGTGCTTCTGAATAGCCTCTGGACAATAATTTTTTGTATCACCCAGAAATCATTATTATTATATTCGTGTTCTTTTTTATGGTTATTAACCAGGAATTGTTTATGACTAATGAAATTCCTTTAGATTGAATTAATGGAAGTGGAGTTGCTATAGTTATGGTTTTGATACTATGTTTTAATATAGTGCGCTCATCTTTTTTACTTTTATTGTTAAATATGAGCTTTTCTTGATTTCTGAGGAATTTTTCCTTTCTCAGTTCCTTTTATTTTTATTTTTTTTTCCCATTTCACATAAATTATATTACTATCAAGGCTTCAACATTTCTTTGGAGGGGCTTTTTAGCTGAGTAATCAGGTCTGGTCACTTCTCTCTTCAACTTGCTTTTTGTTGAGGATTGTCCAAATAGCAGATTCAAAGAGAAAAGTGGCATGGAATCGAACAAGGTCCTGAATTGGTGCTTCTCTTAATTCTAAATGTCGTGCAAATGCTTGAATCTTTGTTTATCTTGTAGCTAGACTAGAACTATCCTACTATGTTTCTAAGCATTTTGTAGCTTATTTCTGTATTTATATTTTAACAGGGAGATGGATGAACCCTGTTATTATAAGATTATCGGCCCTTGAGGAATATTTTAAAACCTTTGTAATTCTATTTCTAACATTGGAGCAGCAATTTTAAATTTCTTGTTTTCTTTTCCTTCATATATGCACTTCGTTGTAGGAACAAAAGAAACATCGAGGGATTGATTACAAGGACTTACTTCATTTAATTCTAAGGAAAAAGCTGTGACTGTGAAATCGCCAATTTCCAATAGCTAATATAAAGTGTCAATTTTAGTACGAATAAATATAATATAGGAAGTCTTGAAAACTGACGAAGAGAATTTTGTGATTGTATTAGATACGCTAGATTGTAATTTGATGTACGTGCTTGTTCTATTTGGATATGTGACATGTTTTGTTGTTGTTGTAGTAACTGATGTTTCTCACCTCTCTGGAGTAGCTAATACATAATTTTGTTATGTAAATGAGAATATTGAATTCTTAGACAGGTAATGTGTAACACCTCGTTCTAGATCGGTTTGTTATCATTACATATGGCAAAACATAGTTATTATCATAACAATTGATTAAACAGATGGAATAACTTTTTCTTTTCTAATAACGTTGTTTATTGGCTTAAAACGTTTTTCGTAATTAAATAATTTTAAACTACAATTATAACTTATCTACTGCACGGAAGACTTAAATCATACTCAAATACATCATACTTTGCTTGAAATTCCTATCCATGAAGTACCCATAAACATTCATGGCTCTATTCATGCATTTCTTAATTCTTCTCTGCTCGTTAGGGCCCTCGCTTTTGCGAGCACGCCAACGAGCAACTTATAATTTTGATTGATTAATAGGGATTTCTTGTGTTCCGAGCAATTGCTCGTTGGACTGCTCGCATAAGCGAGATTGTCAGTGAGCAAGGCTTTTTCCAGACAGTGGCCACTGTCTTCGTTCTATATTTGCTCTGTGGATTGCTAACATAAGTGAGCATGGCAGCGAGCAACTTTGTAACTTGAATGGTTCCCTTGGTTCATTGACATCAATCCTAGGAAAACATAATTTGTTTTGGGTACCAAATAAGTGTGGAATGGCAACCCAACGCCCAACAAACATGGGTGAACTTACATCCTCATTCATACATCAATTTGTCCATCTTTCTTGTGCCTCAACTAAGGTTTTACATGTTACTTGACTCACAAGTTATAACATCTTCTATTACTTGAATTCCAAGCTTTCTCATATGGCTCACTTTACATGCATAAATAATACATATTCTTCTTCTCATTCTTGCATATAAACTCTCATACATGCTTGACCATTGTAGGTCTTTAATGTACATATTCTTTTTACATAAACAATACACCATTCAATATAATCATATAGGTATATTATCAACTCTCTTCACTTTACATTTCTTGGAACTTAGTTACACAACATGATCAAAGTCCCTTACAAAAGTATACATCAAAGGTAATACTAAATAACAATGATCATATTTTAAGTTCCTACAAAATGCATATTTTTCTCAAAATGGGATTACGACTATATTTACAACAAAAGTAATCCTAATGTATAAACATGCCATGAAATCAACTCTAAGATGGCCCCTTGCCAAGAGATGCTCACTGTAAGACCTCGTATATATCCGGTAATGTTATCATACTATCGTATTAAGCTGCGCTTAATTAAAAATGCGGAATATTTTTTTCTTTTCAATTATGATGTCATTATCATTACCAGCTTACTTATTGAATCGATTAATAAAATATTTCCTGTATGTAGATTGCAAAAGACAGCTAACAGAAATACCTCATAACATAAATAATGTAAGTATGTCTCTAGACACGGAACTACAACGCGTAGACCGGTCCAACTAGCAGTTTATACAACTCTAACTATAAGTACTAACATCAGTGACATAGACAATCCCCATGCTCACACAAATAAGACAACAAAGCCCACATCGTCTCAACAACAGCAACATAATAAAAGTAAGCTAATACATCAAATCAACAGATATAACCAGCATCCAACATGTCAGCATAAATATCAGCAATATCATCAACTAAGCTCTGGCCTTCTGCCGCCAGAGAAATCAGTCCCCAAATTACCTTAACCTGAAATAAGCATTCCCCAAACGTGGGGTGAGATCTCTAAACAAGAAATCTCAGTAAGACAAGGGGTCCTCAAGGATCTTCCACCCCAAGCTCACTTACATGTGCAATATAAGTTCCAAAAGCAGTTCATCAATATCATTTCTAAAACAGTACAATGCAGCAGATAATCATGTCATGTGTGTCAATACTATTCTACTGGCAAGAGAAATGCAGGATTTATATACGTCTAATACCCACAAATAGTGCAAGACGCTACTTGCATCCACCCCGGATCACCGTCTTGTATGACACCACATACTCAGGCTTACCGTCAAGATGGAACAACACATGCATATTAAAAGCCATTACACATAAAGCTCAACAGCATTTCAAATATTCAAAGCATGTAACACAGCATGCATATAACCATACCCCCATGGGGCACGGTGGAACTACACAATGGCTAAACCGAGGACACGAAAGCTTACCTCTTAAGCAATCAATCCAAGTCAAGTCCACACAAGCTCAATGTCCAAACTCAGCAGATCACAATCTGATTTAGGACCAGCAAACATATCAATATTCATAGCTCAATAGCATAAACATAAAGACTACGTTTTCCTTTTACGTTTTACGTCTTAAGGCTTCTCACAAAGCCATAAGCCCTTAATCCCTTGATTCTAACTTAGTCCAATTAATACAGAAGTTCAATTTTCTCAATCTAGGGTCCACAAACCCCCAATAGCCTACTGTATGAACAGTAAAGCTAATGTTCTTCGAAATTCCAGAATATCCGGATATTCGTCGGGGACATATCCGGATATCAATATCCGGATATCTCACTGGCAATATCCGGATATCAATATCTAGATATCCAGATCCCCATATCCGGATATCAATATCCAGATATCCATATCCGAATATCAATATCCAGATATTTATCGACCAAATATCCAGATATTTTGCGACAAAATGCAGTTTCTGCATTTCACGAAGATATCCACCAAAGGTCCAACTTTTACCAAATAAATGCGTTCAAGACTCCATTTTTAGGTCTATACAGGTTCATACACATGTTAGTTACTTGTTTAACCCAATTACATGCAAAAACACCACCTTTAAACCCTTTAAACTCATGATCAAGGTTCGGAAATTCACCAAAGCTTCAAATACAGAAATGGAAGGCTCTTGGAGCTCACCAAACAGCTCCAAATATATTGACTTGCAAGGAGCACGAAAATGCCACACCAAAGGTTGGTTCTTGCACCAAAAGATGACTCATTGGCACTACAAATGCCAAGCCAAAGGACCACGCCCTCTCTAAACTCAAAGTCAGCACCTATCCTCACCAAGGCAGTAGCAAGAACTCAGAAAAACAACCCTTTTTTACTTCCCAAGGCTAGAATGCACTCACCCATAGAGTTTTCATGAAGAACCCAAGAGGAAATGAGGTCTCTTGGTGTCTCAAATGGAAGGAGAAGGAGGTGGTAGGGTGGCTGGTGTCACACCTTCAGCAAACTCACGTAGGAGAAATGTATGGCCTAGGGTTTTGGGCCATACTTTAGTATATATAGTCACTTAAACCATAAACGCACAGTATTAACTTTAATTGCTACGCTTAGAATTTTAATCCCAAACTCAGGATTCTTAACCTACTCAATTTTACAAGAATTATCATATTTTTCGCAGCACCTTTCCGATACACGCTTTTCATAGCCAGTATCAGTTTCTGGCACCAGTTCTCATTATTTTAACTTAAAACTCGTTTTACAAGTCCTATATATTATTCTAGGAATTATCATGTACTTATTATAATTTTTTGGGATACTTTTTCGGTACGCATTTATACCGACTAGCAGAACCGGTATCTGCACTTTTCGTCAGAAAAACGACTTTCAGCATTATTACTCACTTACTATAATTATTAGAGCCTCATAATAATTATTAGGGTCAATTATGGAATTATCTCATTAAACTCATAATTAACTGATTAATTTCCTTAATTAACGGTGCGGGTTCTTACACTCACTATCAATGGAGGTACCTGAAATGATAACCCCAAACGTGGTGTGAGATATAAATATCAGTAATCTAAATATCTTTAGAGGATCACTCCACCATATAGTTCACTTTTAGTGCATTAACAATATTAAAACAAGCATGTATACATAATAATATTCTATGATGGAACTTCCAAGAGTTGTCCACTCTGCTTGTAGCTCTTAGGTGTCTGTACCCCAAGGAGTCCCAAAGGCTTACCAAGGGAAGTTCCTTATATTCTTTCTTTGGTATGGCCAACCATTGCATTTCTGAAGAAGATGCATAATACCTTACCAAGGGTAGTCCTATAGGATAATTGCAGCGAAGAACACGTTCTTCTTCTTAGTTTCCTAAATCCTTGCCTGCTTGCTAAGCGATGGAAAAAGGTGGGATACCAAATATTTGGGTTGAAATAGAAAGAGAGGAGGAAGAGATGTGCAAGATGGCACAATGGAGTATGTGAGAGTGAGACAGAGGCGACTAGTGTGCGTAAGTTGAAAAACTAGTGTTTGATCATACCTATCTTAAGCCCCTTGCCTCCTAGGGTTAGAGTGAATCACTATCCACTTGGCCCTGGCCTAAGTTCACTTAAACCCAACTACTATCTTCCTATACTCTTGCATATGGTACGACCAAGGCTTGGTGTGCATTAGGGTTTCTTAAACCTAGGCCTCCTTGGCCCAAGTGAATTGTCATTCACTTGGCCATGGCCAAAGTGACTTCTCACTTGAAATCAATAGCTCTCTTGTATACTTAGCATTACATTTAACACACTTGAGCCCAATAGTTCTCCTCACATGTGATGTGCTACCTATGAGGCCTATAGACCTGACCTATCAATCCAATAGGCTACCCACGGGCCCTCAGGCCCAAAGTATAAA